GATTGTGGTATAGTCGACGCACATCCGCCAGGCCCCTGAAGATTTTTTAACCAGGACCACGTTTGCCAACCACTTTGGATACTTCACAAGGCGGATCAATCCCGCAGCTAGTAGGCGCGCCACCTCTTCTTCTATGGCTTTCAGTTTGTAACCAGTGAACGTCCTTCGCCCTTGTTGCCTTGGTTCCGCGTTGATTGGGACCGCGAGGCAATGCTGAGCTATTTTCCTGGGCACTGCTGGCATGTCCTCTGTGCACCAAGCGAACAGCTCCTTGTACTCCTTCAGTAGCGCCACGAGTGGTTCGATCGCGTCACCGCTGATGTGAGTGGAGATGCGTATTTTCTTAGTCGGCTCGGCGGGGTCCAGCGCGACTTCGAAATCGGAGTCCATGGATTCTGGGCGGGGCTCCTCTGCTCTTGTGTCGACGATGTTTGTCTGGCGCACCTCAGCGCGCTCTTCCCATGTCGTTCCCCTTGCCTCTCCGACTCCTGTTGGGGTGGGGAATTTGAGCTTCTGGTGACACGTCGACGGGAGGGCCATGAATTTCGCAAGGAACGGTCGGCCAAGGATGCCATTGTGCGCCGATTTGCAATCGACGATTGTGAATTCCACTTGCTTGGAGACACGCGGCTCTTGGTCTCTAATTACTACCGGGAGGGTGACCACTCCAATTACCGGAACTCTCGTCCTGGAGAACCCGACCAGGTTGCCTTGCGCGCGCTTAATTAGGCGCGGGTCGATGTCCATTTGGTCGATGGTGCTTTGGAAGAGGATGTCAGCCGCGCTACCTCCGTCTATCAGCAGACGGTGAATTTTGCAGGCGGCAACTAGCGCGGTGACGATGAGCGCATCTTCTGATGGGACCCCTCGTGGGAACTCCGCATCGTCGAAGCTCAGATTGAACTTCGGCCGTGCATCAATTGCCGCACACTCCATTGCGCGCTCACGCTTGGTTTTCTTCTTGGGGCGATCTCCCTCGACCGTTACCACCCCTATTTCTTTGCGCACTACATACTCGCCAGTGGCGTCGTTGTAGTCGGCTTGTGGAGGTGGTGGTGGGTTTTGGGGGCCCTCAACTCGTTCTTCCTTCACATGAGTGAACTCGGTCAGCAACCCTCGTCGTATGAGGCCCTCTATTTCGTAACGTAGTTCTCGGCAGTCTTCCGTCCAGTGACCCGTTGCTCTGTGGAAGTCACAATGCTTCTTTGGATCGCGCATGTGGGGTAGGGACTTCAACGGAGCAGGCCAATTGAGCTTATAACCCTTCTCGCGGAGAACGTGGAACACATTCCTTACGGAATCGTTAAGAGGCGTGTAGGTGTTGGGCGCGCGCCTGTCTGGCGATCACCCGCGCTGAACTTGCTCTTGTGGGGGAGGAGGGTGGCGTTTTGGACCACTGTGCAGCTGCACCAACTGGTCTCGCGGGATCGGGAGCTGCCGACGCCCTGTTCTTCTCGCGGCAATTTTGCTGGTTCGAAACGCCTGACAGATCCCGCCCCCAGGGTCTCTTCCAGCGTGATCGCATTTTCGATCTTCATCTCCAATTCTGTTGATAGCGTTACGGGCCTTTTTGCTAGCGCCCGCTTGACCTCCGTGTTGTTGGTGGCTTCCATAAGGTGATGGGCGACGGTTTCGGGGGTGAGATCGCGCACGGCCATTGCCACCCTGGACCATCTAGCGTAGAAAGCCCGCAGGCTCTCTCCCTCCTTTTGCTTGATGTCTATCAGCGCCTTGAGGTGCAGAGGCCGCCTCTTTTGGGATGCGAACTTCGTTGTGAACAGAAGTATGAACTCCTCGAACGAGCGGATGATTCCGTTCGGGAGCCTGTTATACCAATCGAGGCATATTCCAGAGAATGTTGATGGGAAGGTTCTGCACAGCGCCGCGTTGGAGTTGGTTTGGAGTTGCATCCGCAGGCAGAAAGTGCTCACATGGTCTTCGGGGTCGGTCGTGCCGTTTTATGTTGGGAGGGTGGGTGGCGCTCCGCTTAGGTGCTCCGCCATGATTTCCGCGCTCAACGGTTGGTGGAGGACCTTTCTAGGTGGGTTGGGTCGGTATCGCGGAGACAAGTGTTGCTCCAAGAAACTGAGGTCCGCCCGCCCTGGCGGCTCGACTCCCCGCGTTTTGCACGCGGGGAATTCTGTTGGCGCGTGTTGTGGTAGGTGGACGGTTCCCGACGCTTCTCCCAAGGCCTGTTGAGGCGCGACTGCCATCGCGTCCACTGTTGCCGCGGCCTCCTTGCTCATCATGAGCGCTATGACTTGGGTCATTTATTTTTCATGTCAGCTATGACACTGTTTTGCTTCGCCACCAGCTGCATCATTTCTTTGGCTGTCATCTCGGGCTCTTCCTCTTCGATAAGCACCGCATTGAGGTTGCTGGCTTCTGCGAACGCCCTCGGGTCGGTCATTGCCTTGATGGGCGTTGTTTCGTCAGGTGATTCGTGGTTGCGTTCCGCCATTGGTTGATTTTCTTTTGCGTTTCTTCTTGGCCCCACGGTGGGCGCCAATTGTTTGAACCTAACTGAGTGTAGGAGTGAGGTTCGGGGAAGAATGTGGGTCAAGAAGAACACAAGAGGGGAAAATCGTTCAGAAAGATGAGAACCAAAGAGTTGGAGTCTTAGAGAGAGAAGTTGATATTATAGAGATAGAATGTGTAAAATGCGATCTCCCTCACCCACCAGAGTAAATGCCGTATTTATAGGCTACAAGGTAGTGGGTGAGTGGTTGAGTTACATGATGTGACAATGACATGACCACTGACATGTCAGGGATTTAGGCCATGCCTCCTAGGACATGTTAGAGGTGTACCTACGACCATATCTAGGACTCTGATGTGACCATCCCTCGGGAAACGCGATGGGGCTTTTTGCGGCTCTGTGGTCTAGTCTCCACTTGTTCCTTTCCATTCGCGCGTAGCCTGTGCCGCGCTCGAACTCTTCGCGCCAAGGCACACTGGAGGTCTTTGTTCGCATCGCTCTCGAACTCTTCGCGCCAAGGCGCACTGGAGGTCTTTGATCGCGTCGCGCACTAGCGGGTCCGGCGGCATTTGGGCTTGTGTTTGGCGCGTGTCCCTGGCGTGGCTAGGTCCGAGTCACATGCCCAACATATTCAATAATTTCTATATCGGAAAGTTCAAAATCTGTTTCTTCGATTGGTTCAAAACCACAATCGTAAGCTAATCTAAGGACTTCTTGTTTTCTAGTGTTAGTATTTTTCTTAGGACATTTATTTGCGTAATGTCCTTCTTCGTTACATAACCAACATCTACAATTTGTTTTTCCCTTAGGACAGTATTCTTGTTGTCTTGATTTTTGTTTAAACTGTTTTCTATTTCTGAAATATTTATTTGGTTTTCTAAACCTATTTTTTCTATATTCTTTATAAGGTATCTTTCTCCATTTTTTATAATTTCTATATCTTTTTTGAGTTTTAATGATCTTACGATCATCATTACACCCATACTTTCCAACTCTGTCCATTGTTTTTTCACAACATTGTTTAATTTTAGCTTGTTTCTTTAGTTTTTCCTTATTACAAGCTCGTTTATGTCATTCTTGTAAAACTAATATTCGTCCTCCTAATGTATCTGGTATTTCTTCCTTTGACAAAGTTTCATTAAAGATAGCTTCGACTTTTTCAGAGATATTAGGTGGTAATTTAGCATAGAGTAATTTATCTAGCTCTTTTCTTATCGAAGGGGTGACTTGATAATAGTGTGTTCTGAATTCACAAATAAATGGTTCTAAGTAGCACATGTTGCAGATTCTAAGATTAGTTAAATGCCAAATAGCTTGTTGACTTATGGTTGTGTTTGGTTTATCTTCTCGAGGATGTCGTCCTAAGAATTCATGAGTTATTGCATTTAAGACTTTTTCAAAGGTATTCATCACATCCGTTGTTCCATATAACATTGTCTTAGTAGGAATATCCATGTTGTTAAGATAATGATAAACTGCCCCAGTTGTTTTATATATTAAGAAATTAAACATTTCATTAGGATGTAATTTCTTCAGATCTTCGTTAGTTTGTATTAATAATCCTATTCGATTTTTTCAGTCTTCTAATTCTTTTAATGGATTGACGCAACAATCAAGATCTAATATATCAGGACTGTTGAAACTAGTGGTGGAATATTTTGGTATGTAAGATTGAGGTATTTTACTCCATCCTCCCCCTTTGCGGGGTGTATACTAATTTTTATATAAGTATTCATCAAAAAATAGTTGACCATCTTTATAGTCATTGAAATCACGCTTTCGTGATATTTCAGCTTGATCCTCAGTTTCAGTTTTTGTGTAATTTTTATAGGGGTTTTCGTCGCTACCATAGTCAAGAACTATTTTATCATTTTCTATATTGTCTTCTATCTCTGGTTCTGATTCAATAGTAATTGCGGCTAGTAAATCATTTAATTTATTAATTTGTTCGTCAATACTAGTCATAGAAGTTTGTAGGGTGCCATGATAGTTAATGGGCTAGATTTTCCTGATTTATGCTCATTCAAATATTCCTTTATATCTTCAATTGTAATGCTCCTTTTATTATCTAATTTAGTTATTATTTTTTGAAGTTTAATAATGATTTCCTTAAGATCTTCTACTGGTAATACTATTTCCTTAGAATTTAGAGTTGTTTTTCCCATTGCTATTTCTCTCTGTTTTATATCCACTATTATTTTGGTAATTGTATCCTTAGCGAGTTCTAAATCTGAATATATATCTTTTTGTTTTTCATTACCTTGGTATTCTAATATTGATCTTAATTGTTTATTATTGTCTTCTACTATATTTATTAGATTTTCTTGATATTCAACTATTTTTTCCCTAATTTTTCTAGTTTTATCGAAATATTTTCAGTAGCCATAATTTTGTCTATAAGGTGGATACTAATTTAGCCATTTTAGATATGAGTTAGTATCTGCTAACAAAATGGCTTGTTAGCATTTTAACTTTTGCGCATAACAATCATGAACAAACGATATGAGCTTCTTCACTTTCTATGAGCTTCTTCACTTTCTACAATACGAAGTATATGACACACATTACAGTATCTTAATCATGAATTCAAGATAGTCCGCTAATGACGACACTATAGTCCGCTAATGACGACACATCAAGATCAACTAGGAACTTACACATCATTCAGTTCCAACTCATTGTAGACTAGAAGAATCCAGCCGAATAACGACCTAAACCGAACAGACATAACCTCTTGTGCCAAGAACCAAGATCTGCAAGTGATCAAACCAAACAAAAAGAACATTTCCCACCCAAAGCCAACATAGGTCAATCAGATCCATTCAGACAACGGGCATCAAAACTGGAAATCTCTCAAATAAGTAGACAATTCATAGTTTCATACAGAAGCATAAATTCTAGATTCAGAAAATGGGCAGGAAAGGGAAGGGAATAACATCTCTGCCGTTGTCAATAATAAACATGGGTTCATCTCATCATCTGTTTCTTTCTAAACTAAAAATTTACTTCACAGGTCTGCTCTTCCTGGGTATCTTGGGAATGGAATAACATCTCTAATGTTGTCAATGCCGGTCGCGAACAGAATCATCCGTTCAAACCCTAACCCAAACCCACTGTGCTTTATGGTCCCAAAGCGACGAAGGTCAAGGTACCACTCGTATGGTTCCAGGGGCAGCCCCATATCCAAAATTCTGTCATCAAGTAGCACTCATTAGATCGATGTTGATTATTGAAACCCAAACAAGCTAACATGCACTCGCATACCTTTCTTTAATTACTTCATATCGCTCCTCCCTTTGACTTCCACCGATCAACTCTCCAACCTAGTATTGACAAAGCAAAGCTTTTAGGAAACTGATAGGAAAGCAGCTGAAACTTGGTAATGTAAATTCAGAGGTGTGGACAGAAGGACGAAGTACTATTTACCTTTGGTACAAGGACATCCATTGCAGCCACTGTCTTTGAATCGTCGTTGAGCCTCATGTAGAAGGCTTTGATTCCTTTAGGGTAATTGTAAACTATGACTGGCTTTTGGAACTTGACCTCTGTCAAGAACCTGTGTCAAGGATGACCAAAATCATATAATCGGTACCAGAAAGAACACCGAGTATTTATTTATTTATTTATGAACACAGCTAAAGATGTAAAAGTTTTTGCATGATAATACCTCTCATGTTCAGATGCCAGATCAATGCCCCATTCAACTTGGTTATCAAACTTCTGACCACCCTTCACAGCCTCCTCAAGGATTTCAACAGCTTTTGTGTATGAAATTCGTTCGAAAGGAGTAGATGCGACCATTCTTAGACGGGCAATGCAGCCTTTGTCATAAAGCTTAGCCATGAGCTCCATGTCATCAAAACACTTGTCCAGTAACCACTGGGACATATACTTTACATACGCCTCTGCACAGTTCATATCATCCTGCAAACATTTTGAGACACAAATCATGTTTTATCTCATAATAGCAGCACATCAAGTTCGTGGCAGAATCACTACAGCTTAATACTCCATTATGTTCAGCTTTGCCCTACTGATAACCGAAGGACCTAAAAAACGCTAAGATTGAACTACATATATAGTATACATACCTGAAGATCTGCAAAAGCTATCTCAGGCTCCACCATCCAAAACTCAGCCAAATGCCTTGAGGTATGAGAGTGTTCGGCTCTAAAAGTCGGTCCAAAAGTGTACACATTGCCGACAGCACACGCATAAGTTTCAACTTGCAGCTGACCAGAGACGGTCAAGAAAGCCTGACGTCCAAAGAAATCAGCAGCATAGTCAATCTTCCCATCCTTCCGTGGGATACCGGGTTTAAGTTTGGCTCTCTCTTCCAACTTAGACAAATTCTCCTTCCCTTTATTCAGTTCAGCAACTGCAGCCCCAATCGTAGCCTTGTCAGATTTCTTAGCCTTGAGCTCAGCCACTTCCTTTCCTTTCTGCTGTACAACAAGCTTAGCTGCCTCCACATCAGCCTCTGATGGTGGAGGGTTCTTAATCAGATCTTTCTCTGCCTTCTCCGCTTCGCTGATTATCGTCGTAACTTGGAACATTTCACCCGCGCCCTCGCAATCACTAGTGGTGATAATCGGGGTATGAACATACAGGAAACCATTCTCTTGAAAGAAGGAGTGCGTAGCAAAAGCAAGAGCATTACGAATTCGAGCAATTGCAGAAATCTGAGGCCAAAACATCATAATCAAACTATGTCAAGTCTACGAATCTTAAATTCGGAAGCAAAACGATTCAGAAAAGGATCGATCTTTCTTTATACCGTGTTAGTTCTGGGACGGAAGTGGATATGATCCCTCAAGAACTCCAGAGTGAGCTTGGTCTTCGGAATCGGGTACTTCGCCGGGTCAACCGGCCCGATGTGGAGGACCTTCTCGACGTGGAGCTCAATCTTCTGCTTGGTACCCACAGGCGGAACCTTCAGCAATCCTTCAACCGAGACGGAGGTCCCAGTCGACACCAACGACCCGAGGCCGACCTCTGCAATGTCACGGTTCACCATAACTTGCAGATTCGCAGGGCAAGACCCGTCGTTGACTTCTAAGAAGGCGAATGCGCCCTTCCCTTGCTCCCTCCCTGTCTTCACCCATCCGCCGACGCGGATTCGCTGCCCGGCGAGCCCAGCTCCGCCGTCGGGGCGAGAGACGATGGATCGGATCGGGACCCGATCGGAAAACGGATGCTTCAGGGCTAGCCCGGTCGCCGCGTTGTCGGTCAAGGTAGTGCTAGCCAGCTCCGCCACCGGCGGCGTCGTCGTTGTGTCGCTCATTTTCTCTTTTTTGCAGAGAGTTTGAGGATTGGCTTTGGCGCGTTTGAAAAACCCTAACTATTGGTTTTGGTGTTTATCGTTGTTTATTATCCTTGGGAGAGGGAATTGGCTGCGGGGACTAACCAGGGTTACTTGGGCTGCGAAGTAACACGTGGCAGGATCGGATGGAGTTTGATGGGTTTATCAACGGTGGAGAGTGGACTGCGGGCTTCTGTAGGTGGATTCCGATGCCCAGGAAGGATATTGTTATTCCAGAATCTGTTTATTTAGGTCTGAATTTCACTGGTTAATAGTAATTATTATCAAGCTTTTGCTTTACCCTTTTTTCGTCTAAATTGATTAATTAGAAAGAATTAAACAACTTAATTACGAAGTAAGTCCAGGAAGGCTCTCAAGTTCGGATTATCAAGGAATGCTTGGACGAGTTTTGTACTAGTTCTGGCCAAAGAGTGAACTTCAGCAAATCCTTGCTGTATGTCTCACCGAACATTGGTCAGCTTCGAGCTCAGCGGTTAAGTGACAGGGCTGGCATTCCTTTGACCCTTAACTTGGGGCGCTATCTGGGTGTGCAAGCGATTCATGGGAGGATCACAAAGAGTAGATACCAGCCCCTAGTTCTTCAAATTCAAAAGAAGCTTGCTCCTTGGAAGTCTAGGCGGCTCTCCCTTGCTGCGAGGCTAACGGTTGCGCGATCTGTGTCTCTAGCCATTCCTACTTACCCTATGCAAACTGAACTTATCCCTATGAATGTTTGTAAATCTATTGATAAGATCAACTGGGACTTCATCTGGGGAGAGAGAGCAGCAAGGAAGGATGCACCTGGTGGCCTGGGAGAAGCTTACTGAGCCAAAGAATCAAGGGGGGGCAGGTTTGCGACCCTTGAGACAAACAAATCTGGCTCTCCTGGCTAAAGGGGGCTGGCGCTTGCTGTAGGAGAAGAGTTCCCTCTGGACGCAGCTCTTTCGTGCCAAGTACGGGCGTCAACGGGAAGGATTGGATATGTTTCGCCAGAGTCAGGGAAGTTCCTTTGCCTGGAGAAGCTTTACCAAAGCTTCTAGTTTACTGCAGCAAGGCTGTGGGTGGAATATTCACAGCGGGAAAGACACTAAGTTTTGGTGTGATCTTTGGTTGATGCAGGTCCCGCTCGTGGAGATGGCTCTTCAACCGGTTCCAAGCGAAATGATGTCGGATTCAGTTGCTGATTACCTTGGAGAAGACGGTACTTGGGATGTGGAGCGGTTGGCCTCCTGGCTGCCAGCGGAGGTTCTGCAGAAGATGACCGCGATAGCTGTTGACCCTCTATCCACCGAGAAGGACACGATCTTCTGGACGGGGTCTGCTAATGGCTGTTTCACTACGAAATCAGCCTACCTCTTGGCTGCCCCGCCTCGTTATGATTCTCGGCAGCATTTGTGGAAGCAAGTTTGGCAGCTCCCGGTCCCGGAAAGAGTGCGATGCTTTGTCTGGCTAGCTTGCTTGGGCAAGATTGCGACGAACCAGTTGAGATTCTCTAGAAGGTGCTCTCTGTCCTCCTCCTGCTACCGTTGTGAAGATGTTGCTGAGTCTGTGTGCCATGTCCTCCGCGATTGCCCTCCTGCTGCTTTCTTTTGGAGTAGGCATGTGTCGGCACCTGAGCAGCATGCTTTCTTCTCAGCGCCCATTGGAGACTGGTTGCAGAAGAATCTCCTTAAGGAGGACACCATGGAGTCAGGTGTTAGCTGGAATGCTTTTTTCAGCATAGCGATTTGGTGTTTGTGGAAGAACAGGTGCACGGGCTGCTTCAAAGGGACGGCTGCTACTCTATCTGCACCGTCTCTGAGCCACTCGATCGCGCACAGGATAAGCCTTTGGCGTAAGGCGTGGAATGCCCCCTCAATCTCTCCAGGTAAACCTAGAACGATCCAAGATAGAAGAACAGAGAGCATTAGGTGGCTTGCCCCTTCAAGGGGTTGGCTGAAGCTTAATGTAGATGGGGCTTCGGCAGGTAATCCCGGGATTGCAGGAGCTGGAGGGTTGATTAGGGATGATCAGGGTCGTTGGATAGCTGGGTTTGTGGCTAAGATTGGGGAGGCCTCGGCGGCTCTGGCTGAGCTGTGGGCTATTCGGTATGGGTTGGATATTGCTTGGAGACACAGGTGCACGAATTTAATCATCGAGTCGGACTCTCTTTTAGCTATCCAGTTGATTAAAGATCGGCAGGATCCCATTCACCCTTACGCCTGCCTGCTTATGTCGATACGACGGCGTATGGCTCAGGATTGGTTGGTCAACATTGTTCACACATACCGGGAAGGGAATAGAGCCGCGGACTGGCTCTCGAAGCACAGTCTCGTCTATCCCTACGGTATGCGAGAGCTTGTGGACCCGCCCAGGGATCTGTGCCGTATTCTGCAGGAGGACAATCAGAGGGTCTCTTTTGAGCGCAGGATTGTGGTGCAAACAAATAAATAGCTTCCTTTTCTCCTTTCTGCCCTCCTCTCGCCTGTTGTAATTGCTTTTCTTCTTGGCTTTAGCCTCCCTTAATGCAAAAAAAAAGTCCAGGAAAAAGGGAATATTTTGATCATTTTCCTAGTTTATGGCATATAATCCATTTATTACTGAAATTACACTCTTATTAATATGCCGATTTATTAAATTAACTAGGGTTACCCTTTATATTTGCTACTGCTAATTTATGACTTGAGTCCGTTCTTAAGGCAGAAGGCCCACCGAATCTGAAATTCGGGCCTACTAAGCCAGTTCCCACGACTGAAAAGGTCCAATTTCAGCAGAGCCCTAAATCTCATCTCTAGTAAATGCTGATAGGCTGCTGGGGAAACAGGCTAGGCGAAGAATCTTTCAAAGTAAAACTAGTCACGCGACCCGCAAAAGTTAAACTGCTCACAGGGTAAACTGTGAGTAGATACTCACTGACCCATGAGCCGAGAGGAGAGAAGGAGAGAAGGCCTGGCGCTTTTTTGGGCGGGTTTTGGGCGGCCCGAAATTTTGGGCGGAGGAAGTGGGCGGGTTTGGGCGAGCTGGGCGGGAGGTGGGCATCTTTTTGGGGCAACCGAAATTTTGGGCGGGAAAGTTGGAGATGTGTCATTAATTCGGGTCTGGACTTGCAGCCTAATAAGGGCTGCCCGCCGAGGGCCCATGGGCCGAAGGCTCATTAAACCCCATTTTCGGCCCATTTTGCATTGGGGAAGGATTTTGGGCGCCATTTTGCTGAAGAAGGAATGGGGAATTGGATATTTTGTTCAACAAAAGGGGAAGGTGGCATTTATTATCTCAACCACCACTTTCACTCTCTAACCCCTCTCTCTCTCCTTTTTTCCTTTAATTTTATGCTCAACCTTGGCGGCGAGACTCTCCTTGCCGGCGACGGCGAGCCTCTACTTCCGGCGAGCCTCTCCTTCCAGCGAGCAGATCCTTCCGGTGAGCAGATCATCTGGAGAAAGGATGATTTTCGACGACGACGGCGAGTTGGACGGTGTGGCTGCCTTCATTGTAGAAGAAGAACTCGATCCTACAATAGATGAATTTGTTGATGAAGACTCAGATGGTGTGGGTGACTTCATTGTAGAAGAAGAAGAAGAAAAAAAAAGTGAAGGTGGATTCTATTATATATATGTTTGTGTTGTTGAGTTTTGTTGTGTGCATTGAATGTCATTTAATGGTGTTGATATTATTTTGGGTGTAACCTCCTGTTTCATTGGGTTTTTGGGTGTGGATATTATTTTCTGTTGTCATGGATACATTGTAAAACCATCTAGGATATTATCCTGGGCATGTTGGATATTAATATGGACGTGATGAAAGTGGTTTGATATTTTTTTTGGTTTTTGAGTATGGATATTCTTTAGAGTGTCATGGATACGTTAGGAATAGGTTAAGTCATGGATACATTGTAAAACCATCTAAGATATTTACCTGGGCATGTTGGATATTAATATGGACGTGATGAAAGTGGTTTGATATTTTTTTTTGGTTTTTGAGTATGGATATGCTTTAGAGTGTCATGGATACGTTTAGGGATAGGTTAAATATTATTCTGGGTATATTGGATATTTTCTTGGAACAAAAGGATACGATGTAATTCAAGGTTGGATACTTGTCGAAGCCTAAGAATTCAGTCTGTTTATGGGTATGATTTAGACGTCTATTTGATACTATTGTGGGCATGTTGGGTAATTTTCTGGGCAAGTTAAATGTGGATACTAACATGGCCTCATACAATTAAATCGCAGCTCACAAGACATCGGACCTAGAAGATGAGGAAACGAGGAAGAACATATTTTATCGGACTAAGGAAGAGTGTTTGGCTTTCTATAAACGCTATGCTCACGAAAAGGGTTTTGGTGTTCGATATGGTGCTCAACACCAAAAAAAATGAAGAATTCTAATGGAGAGGTGGAGAAAATTTATTTCTACCTTTATTACTTTTGTAATAAGCAAGGTTGGACTTCCACTAGCGAAGTAGATGTGGAGAAACAAAAACAGTCCGAAGACAAAGTTGTGGAGAGAAAGCGTCCTAAAAGAAAGAGGCCTCGAGTTAGGGTTGGATGTAGTGCCCGTGTTCGTTTTCGATGGGATGAATCTAGAGACGGATATGTGGTGTATGAATTCGTGGGAGGCCACAATCATGATTTGCACTCCACCGAGCATACGCACCTTATCAAGTCCAACAAGTGCATGAGTGATGCTCAGAAAAAGATGGCCGAAGCTAATCGCGATGCCGGGATGAGTCTTAGTGCATCGTATCAGTTATTAGCTGACTGTGCTGGTGGCTATCAAAATCTGAAATTTTCCAAATCTGATCAGAAGAACCACTTGAACAGTAAAAGGCAAAGGAAAATGGCTCGTGGCGAAGCGACTTATTTGCTTGACTACTTTGAGGACCAAAAGGAAAAGCATCCTGGCTTCTTTTATGCTGTAGAGGTAGATTGCGAGGAGAAAGTTGCTAATATTTTTTGGGCGGACAGTAGGATGCGTGACGATTATGCTCTTTTTGGAGATTCGGTCTCCTTTGATACCACCTTCCGAACCAATAAATACTTCCGTCCACTAGGTACGTGAATCACTTAATTG